CTTGAGAGCTCCTTGGAGTCCTGTGTGGGCTCCTTGGGGGCCGCTCGGCGGCCCTGGTGGCATCTTGTCTCGGGTGCCTCGGGTGAGCCTCTTAGGGCATCTTGGAAGCCCTTTGGGGTCTTGTGGACGCCGCTCTTGGCAGGCTGAACGCGCGAACAAAAACGCTACGTGTTTGTTGTTGTTGTTGTTGCGTTGTTAGGCCTGTTTTGGGGGGCGTTGTTTGCGTGGCTGTTTTTTTTCTGCGTTTACAGATTGGAAGCGCTAAGACAACGCATCATGTGTTAGCGTTTATAGTTGTTTGGGGGGACCTGAAAACGCAAGCACACATAATTTCCATGACGCCGAGCTGAAAAAGCTATAAACAACAACACAAAAAAAACGCCCTGGGCACATTTAAAGGCGCACCAAGCTGATAAGGAAATATTCTAACACCATGCCCGAAGGGGAAGTAGGGCGTTGGAAGGGGAAACTCCCTAAACCGCAAACGCCGAGATGGCTGGTAGGATTGTGCTCTATGTCATCTTTGGTCGCTCTCGTTGCCCTTCAAGTCCCTCTCCTTCCCTCCCTCCTCCGTGTCGGGCGGCAGGTGGGGCAAGTCAGATTTTCACGAGCGAGGTTCCGATTCGGATTCGGATTCCTCCCTCTCTTCTGTCCTTCCTGTTCCCCCCCCCTCCTTCCTATCCCCCCTCCATTCTCCCTCCCGCTCCCCGTCCTCTGGTCGTCCTCGTTAGCCTCCTCGTCCGTTCCCCCCGTTCCTCACTCCCCGAGACGGCCAGCGGATGTTGCGCTCGTGTCTCTGGGAGTAGACATCATGGCCAGGGACATCGTCTCCCCGTGTGTCATGGCTCCTTATTCGTAAGGGCTGCGCCCCCATGCCGCCGGCTCCCCTCTCTTAGAATGGGACTTCACGCGAGGGCCAATATCAATTTACCAGGGTTTATGGGCTCAGTGGCGCGAGTATTATGTAACTTACGATGGTGTATGGCTTCGGGGACGCGACTATTGCATACTTTACAAAGGTTTGTGGCCGCGGGGGTGCACAGATTGCCTAATTTACTCGGGTATACGGCCTCGGGGGCGCAACTATAGTGTAATTTACGAGGGTGTATGGCCTCGGGGACGCGAATCTTGTATTTGTTTAAAAGATGTACGGCTTCGGGGGCGCGAGCATCTTGTAATTTCCGAGGGTTTATGGCCCTGGGGATACGAATATTGTAGATGTGTTCGATTGTTCATGGCTTCGGTGGCGCGAAAATTATGTAATGTACTACCGTGTATGGCCTCGGGGGGGGGAGCGTATACTGTGTAATTTACGTAGCACCCCGCAATTGCGGATAAGAGTTAGTGGGCGGGCGCGGGCGTCGCGGGCGTCGAGCCGGCGCACCTCGTGGCCCTCACTTTCCTTGTCGATGGCGCCTTCCTCCTCCTCCTCCTCCTCCTCCTCTTCCTGCTCCTGCTCCTCCTCTTCCTCTTCCTCGTCCGCGTCCTCGTCCTCATCGTCGTCGTCGTCGTCGTCCGCCTCCTCCGTTCTTGGCTTGTTCAGTGAACGTAGTTTGGGTCGCGGGTGGGTCGCGGGCTCTCCACCTCCACCCGGAAGGAATTCAAAAACAACCCGCCGCAGGCGCCGAAAGTTTAAATTTGGACGCTGAACGCGGTTTGGGTCGCAGGTTCTCCACCTGGAACGAATGCAAAAGAAACCTGCCGCAGGCGCCGAAGTTTTGGCTTGTTCAGTGAACGTAGTTTGGGTCGCGGGGTGGGTCGCGGGCTCTCCACCTGCACCTGGAAGGAATTCAAAAACAGCCCGCCGCAGGCGCTGAACGTTTTGTTTTGTACACTGAACGCGGTGGGGGTCGCGGGTGGGTTGTAGGTTCTCCACCTGGAACGAATGCAAAAGCAGCCCGCCGCAGGCGCCGAACAATTTTGGGTGGGTCGCGGGGTGGGTCGCGGGTGGGTCGCGCGGGTGGGTCGCGGGTGGGTCGCGGGGTGGGTCGCGGGTGGGTCGCGGGTGGGTCGCTGGTGGGACGCGGGCGGGTCGCTAGGGGGGTGTCGGGGTGGGTCGCGGGCGGGTCGCGGGTGGGTCGCGGGTGGGTCGCGGGTGGGTCGCGGGTGGGTCGCGGGGTGGGTCGCGGGTGGGTCGCGGGGTGGGTCGCGGGTGGGCCGCGGGTGGGTCGCGGGTGGATCGCGGGTGGGTCGTTGGGTGGGTCGCGGGTGGGTCGCGGGGCGGGTCGCGGGTGGGACGGCGACAATAAGCGACAAACAATTACAACAACAACACTAACAACAACAACAACAACAACAACAACAACAACAACAACAACAACAACAACAACAACAACAACAACAACAACATTAACAACAACAGCAACAACAATAATTTTAAGACTGTTCGCCCTTATTTGATCGAGTGTCCAATAACGCGTATTTCCCACCCCCCTCGATACCCGCCCTCTTCGTCTTCGATCGAACCTCTTTTGGGGGGTATACCTTTCTTCCCTGCAGGCCGGGCCCCGGCAAGCGGCGGGGCGGCTCGGCCTGGCCAGCGGCAGTACTGATCGGCGGGGCGGCCGCGGACCGTCGACCCGACCCCAAGAGGGACGGACAGGGGACCGACCACGACGACGACGACGACGGCGACGACGACGGCGACGACGACGACGGCGACGACGAGCGAAAGCGAGAGCGAGCAAGAATGACAGCAGGGCCACGGAGGACACGAAGCAGGCCACGAAGGCCGACAGCGGGGGCACGAAGGGAATGCGTATGGGGCCACGAAGAGCGCGAACGAGGCGGGGCCACGAAGGGCAGATAATGCGGGGCCACAGAAGGCAACGATGAGGCCACTGAGGGTAGCAACTGGGCCACGTAGGACAGTGAGGGGGCCACAAACGGCGACAGCGGGGCGACGAAGGGCATGCACATTGGGCCACAACGGGCGAGAACGAGCGGGGGCCACGAAGGGAATACGTATGTTGGGCCTCGGAGGGCAAGGACGGGGCCACTGAGGGCAGCAACGGGGCCAAAAAGGGCAGCGAGGGGGCCACGAAGGGCGACAGCGGGGCCACGAAGGGCATGCATATGGGGCCGCCAAGGGCGCGAACGAGCGGGGGCCACGAAGGGCATACATATATGGGGCCACGAAGGGCAGCGAGGGGGCCACGAATGGCTGCAACGGGGCCACGAAGAGGAGCGAGGGGGCCACGAAGGGCTGCAACGGGGCCACGGATGGCTGCAACGGGGCCACGAAACAAAGCGAGGGGGCCACGAAGGGCTGCAACGAGGCCACGAAGGGCAGCGAGGAGGCCACGAAGGGCAGCGAGGGGGTCACAAAACAAAGTCAGGGGGCCACGAAGGGCTGCAACGGGGCCACGAAACAAAGCGAGGGGGCCACGAAGGGCTGCAACGGGGCCACGAAGGGCAGCGAGATCCCGATTTCTAGGTAATCTGCGAGGGAGTCCTAAGCGTGAGCGCGACTCCTGGGTGCCTGGGTGTCGGGAGCGCGGCGCTAGAGTAAATTGCAAGAGCTCCAGTGCGAGAGCGCCATTCGTCAGCAAGTCTCCAGCGAGAGCGCGACTCTAGAGCGTCGGGAAAGCGATTCCTGAATCAATTGTAAGGAAGTCCCAAGCGAGAGCGCGATTCCTGAATAACATGTGAGAAGTCTCGGGCGGGAGCGGGGGTCCTGGCTAAATTGTGAGGAAGTCTCAGGCGGGAGCCGTTGTTGTTGTAACCAGGGGGCCAGGGGCCAGTTTGAGCAGGAAAACTTTCCCTGTCAAGAAACTGGGTGCGAGCGTCGAAGGGCACACTTTGATTGAGAAAAAAACAGTATGCACCGGTGGGGGGACCAACAATAATTATTCTACAGAAGTGAGAGTTCAACAATAACAACACGAATCCGCCTCGCGGAATTCCATTTCAGCCACGCACGTAGGGACAGTGAATGACCGTTCGGTTCAGCCCTCTCACTCTGACGAGAGTGTATGGCCTCGGGGACGCGAATCTTGTTGTAATTTGAAGATTATGGCTTCGGGGACCTGAATGTTGATGAACATTGTATCATTTACAGAAAGGTTTATGGCCTCGGGGACGCGAATATGACGTAATTTGCTGTGGGCTCTAGCTTCGGGAACACGAATATCACATATTTTTAAAAATCCCACGACTCCCCGGGAATTCAGACAACGCGATTCGGGGACGCTAGCCAGGACGTTTTTCGGCTCCCCCCCCCCCTCGCGCGTTCCGCAACGGTTGATTCTAAGGACGCAGAAAGCAGGACTGTAACGGTGGAAACTGGAAGCTGCAACTGGCACAGGGAGTTGCAAGCCTAATCTTCGCAGCCTAATGGCCCCGCAAGGGGGCTGGCGGATTCTTTCAATGCGTTCCCTGGTTCACGCAGTGTCGAAGCGTCCTGGCTCGCCTCTATTCCCGCCAAAGGATGTTCTAATAACCTGGTGTGCTCGGCACGAAATGTTCTGACAACATTTCTAGCTTAGACCGTCTGTTTTTATTGTATCGGTTTTGTGTCCTGAGAGTAATGTTTCGGTTCTTCGAAAGTTCTCCCCTGTTCTGAGAACATGGCGTGGTAGCCCTATAAGGCTGCCGGGACGGTCGGTCCCTGCTCAACTTGGCGGCGAGCCCAGGGGAGAAGTGAGAAGGAGAAGGCCCTCCCAGAAGGCTCGGAAGACCCCTGGCCTTCTGAGAAGTTGCCAGAGCGTTCCCCGAAGACGCAGAAAACCTTTCAGAAGGCGCGACGGCTCCTGAGAAGCCCCGCCGCCTTCTGAGAAAGCCTTCTCCTTCTCACTTCCCCCCCTCGCTCGCCGCCGATCACCTGGTAAGCCATGATTCGTATCTTCCCCGCGCACGTGCCTTCAGCCATGATCTGCATCCTCCCCGCTGTTGGACCGCCCCGCTCGGGCCAGGATCCCCCGGAGACAGCCGCCTGCCTTCCGCACAGCTCCGGGGGTTCCCTCGCGCGCGGAACGGGGCGGGGCGCCCTCGGGGGGCAGGTTGCGCTGGAGATGCCGACGCCCACCAACGCGAGCCGAAAGGCCCCCTTGGAGGGGACGACGACGACCACGACGACGACAACGACGACGACCACGACGACGACGACGACCATGACAACGACGACGACGACGACGACGACTTTTGGATTGCATTGCTGAGCATTGCTCGTCAAGGTCTTATCGACGCTGCTTTGCCATCGCCTTCGCCTTGACTGGGCGGAGGCCTCTCCTGCTATTGAATTCCGCAGCAGCTGCAGAGCTCCCTGGCCAGATACCTTTAGCAATCTGCTCCAGGTTGTACCTGCCGTCCTTGGTGGTAGGACGGCACTCCTTGGCAAGGTTCCTGAGGGCTCCGCCCTCACAAGCACACATATATCCACAGTTGCTGCAATAAAAAATGGGGATGTCTTCATGGGCCACAACATTGTGCGACGGATGAGGAGATCGGCCCCCGATTTGTAGCCTCTGGTGGGCCTCAGGGACCCTTCCCGCGGGGTGGGCTGCACCATCAGGGACGCCAACTGGGTGACAGGGGGTCAAAAGCCATTTGAGAACACGGGCCCTGCCACCCACACGACCGAGACAAACCGAACACGTGGCTTTGACCCCCTGTCGTCCCTGCTTAATTATAGTCGGGGTATGTGCACTGGTCGCCACAGCTTTCTGCAAGACGCTGGGGCGGGGCGCTCGCTGCTGCTCAGCCAGGGTCGGGAGTCTCTCAACCTGGGCCCTAGCTTCGTTATCGGCCTGCATTACTTCTTCAAGCACAGTGCACAAACGCCTACGAACTCTGGCGGCTTTAGCTTCAACATCTTTAACATTCTGGACCTGGTCGGGGTGAAGCTGAAACTTCATAGCCGCGTCATCAGCCTGAATATCTACTAAGCTGTTGGCCTGGATCCACAGCTCTGGAAAATTCATTTCAGCTCGCCTGGCTTGGGCCACATGGCTTTCAACCTTATGGCAGAAAACGTGGCGCCCCCCTCGGGCCACCCGAAATCTCTTCCAAAGGTCCCTATTCGTTCTGGGTTTGCTGGCATCGGGCCGACACACGCCACGGACCACATAAGCCGAGTCAGTTATAAAGTGAAGCTCGCCGTCAGGCGGTAAATTAAACTCAAGGGGGAGGTCCTCCAGTCAGCATATAAGAGCCATCAATTCGGCACGGTTGCTAGACTGCTTCGGCCCTGGGAGGTTCCCCGCTTGGTCCTTAATGGCCCCAATATGGTTCCAAGTAGGGTCTTTACACCAAGCAGCAAGATGGGTAAATGCCCATCCACATCTACGGAGGCGAGGGTCTTTGGTGTGGGCTCCTCCAGAGCCGTCCCCCGCCCCCCAGAACTGGGTCCCTGGCTCGAGGTTGGCAGTGGCCTCAGGTTGGGTTTGCCACGTCCACACGTGGGCCTCACTGAGGGGGGGATCGACATCGGTCCACGACGACGGGATGAGACCTCGAAGCCAGAAACAAGGAAACTGCTGATACCCATCGGCGGCCTCTTGCTCGAGGTCAGCCGTCTCGCGGCAGACGGCCAGATTACCGTTGGCACTGCACTGCCATGATCGATGAAAAGGAGTCTCTGGCTGATTGAGATTACACCGCACGCAGTATGAATCGGATTCGCCGAAGATGCCAGCCTCGCAAAGCCGAGACCTCGGCCAGGTCGATCCAGTTGCCATGGCCATAACATTACCCCTGATGCCTGGAGCAGCTGTGGAAGTCATCATATCTAAGGTGCGGAGGGACTGCCGAAGGGAGAAGAGGTCCGCCCCACCCTCCAGCCCCCCACCCAAGTAGTGCTGGCTTGCTTGCTTCCACGCTTGGCTCCACAGGCTCTGGGTGAATTCTTCAAGAAAGGGTTCGTAGTCAATATCGCCAGACTGCAGTGAGAGTTGCCACCAGTCGTCTGTGACAGGTGAGCACCAGGTTAAATACGTGTCATCAGTGGCCGTCCAACCCGCATCCAGAAGCACCGCGACCGCCCCCGACATCGGTCCTCGAGCATGTCTCCAGCGGTCGGTCTTCGGGGTCTGAGCGACACGGTTGGCCACCTTGGGCCAAGCCCTGGCAAGTCTGGGAAGGACGTGCTCACTGTCTTTGTCACGGGTGATAAACTGAAACCATGTCTGCAACTGGCGAACTCTAAGTTCTATGCCTGGGTTGCGATTCCCAAGTTCAAGCGCCAAGTAGGCAGTCAGACAGCGTCCAGCCTTGCGACCCCCAAGCGCCCCCGCCACAGCGCGTTGAACCTTCAAAATCTGGGGCGGGGCCATGCCTGTAGCCATAGCTCCGCAAGCGATACGGGGCACAGGAGACATCAGGGTCAGCTTACGCCTGGCTAGGCGGATGCGACTAAACTTAGAAACCTTACGAAACTTAGAAAGCTGGCGGAACGCTTGGCTGACACGCTTGTTGTGCTTGATTTTGTGCTGCCTTCTGGGCCCCCTTTCGAGCCCAAGGTCAGCGATCACCGCACTAGGTTTAAGCTTAAACTCTGAAACATTCTTGTTAAATTCAGCGCAGACTGCTTTGGCCATGTCGATGTCGGTCCCGATAACCCCAGACTTCCCCGAGATGTCGAGGCCAAGGGAACGGGCACCCCGAAAGAAAACCGAGGCCGCCTTGGCCAGGGCGGGGGCCAGGATATGTTTCGGCCCTTCAGCGCGCTGGTTTATATCATCAACCCATTGGTATGATCTGACACCTCTGGGTAAAAACTGGCGGTGGATATCATCGAGCAAATCGTATAACACCGCTCTGGCAAGATTATTTGCATCGCTATCTCCAGTCAAGAGCGATCCCGTGGGCTGAATGGGTGCAGCGATCGCGCCCCTAGAGCGCAGCATCCTCGGCGACATGTACAGGACCGCCGCCATGCCGAGCTTCCTGGGCGAGAATTCCAGCTTGAGCGCCGCCTCGAATGCCATGATGGGGTTGACGCTGTCGTAGAATTCTGCGAAGTCCCACATCACGTTAGCATAGTGTATGTCCAGCTCGTCATCGACTTCGTCGCAAAACAGGCGGAAGATGCCGCACTGGAGGGCACTGCTGCCCTTGATGGCCTGGTCCCAGTGCCCGGCCTTGGCAGCGCACCAGTCGGCCCCAATGACCTTGCGCATCTGCGCCCAGAAGCGCATGAGCCATGGAATCAATGCAACGCCCCTCTCCGAGCCGTCTGGCTTCGGAAGCATGCCCGCCAGTGCACTCATGAGCTGCCACGGCCACGCCATCTGCCTCTCGCATTGGTTGAAGAAGTCGGCCAAGTCCTGCTTCGCCTGAAACGGCAAGTTGCGAATGTCCAGAGGCCCGAGGTTGTCGCTGCCACGGCCCGTGGCGTTGGGCAGGACGGTGGCCTTGTCGTGGATGAGGTAGGGGTCTATGGGCTGCCATGCGTCCTCATGTTCCGCAAGGCGTTTGCACTTGCGACGGAACGCCTGGAGATCGGAGAGCTTCACCGTGCCGCTCCAGCGCTGCGCCCATGCGCCTCGTTTGCCATCCATGATGCTATACAAGTCGGTGGAGGCAGCAGGCCCGACCCCGTACTCCATGATCGGCCCCGCTGAGTCGGTGCTCCACTTGAGGACCTTGCTGGGTTTCTTGGCCGTGCACTGGACGACCCACTCCTGAAACGCCTGTAGTCCTTGTCGGACTTCAGCGCGCTGAAATCTGTCGGCCAGGATCCCCAGTGCGTAGGCCATGGTGGCAGCCTGGCCAGTGGTCCAATCACGCACAGCTGATAGACCATGCTGCCACTTAAGCTTGGTGGCATTGTCGATAGGCACAAGGTTGTCGTCGGGCATAGCATGGGCATGCGTGTAGATGATGTCCGCCGCATTCTCGCCAGCCTCGGAGAGCGCGTCGTCCATCCTGGCCATGGCCTTGGCCAGCAGCTGGGTACATGCTGCCATAGTGCTCCACCATCGCGTTGCCCGACTAGAAGTGCAAGCCCCCGTGCCTGCTCGTGGTGCTCGGATCTTCATATGTGCAGGAGCACGGGCCAGGCCTCGGCCAATATAGCGGTGCCGCTCGTCAGCTGATACCTTCATGGTGTCAGTATAGAAGTACTCCACGTGCGTGATCCATCTGGCGTACTGCATGCCCAAGTCGTCGGCGGCCTCGGACGAGGACTGGTACGCCTGGGAGTCCCGAATGTAGTCGGGCGGCTCGTCGTACTGGACCTGGCGATGGCAGACCTGTGCCCACAGCTCATCCTTCTCTGCCGCCGTGAGCCTGACCACCGTCGGGCACGGCGGCGTCGTCGGGAAACCCAGCAACCGGTCGTGCGACGGCTGCTCATCGTGGTCCATGTCATGCGCCACCGCAGTACTGGAGGCTGCCCCTGCCTCGGCCGACCGCCAGATCGCAGGGCCATCGGGGGCCCGCGCAGGCAGGTCGGCTGGCGCCGCGCAGCCTCCGCTCGGAAGCGGGCCGCACATGTGCGCGGGCAGGGGTGGGCCATCCACAGGCTGCTGCTGAGAAGCCGCCTCGGTGACCTCTGGGTTGAGGGCCTCCAGGGGGTTGTCCTGCATACGCTCGAGCCTGCGCTGCTCAGCCTCGCGCTTGGCCCGAGAGCGCTTGCTGTTTGGGTCCGCAGCCTTCTGCTCCGCTGGAGGGTGCGTGAAGGAGAAGGGAGTCGGCAGGATCAGAGCCCATGCTGGCGCCGTCTGTGAGGTATATTGCGCCACAAGGCCCATGTGGCTCTTGTGGTCTCCCATGGTGTCCGCAAAGAGTTTGGCGGGCACGTGATGACCTGGCCCTCCGATGACAGCGTAGTCCAACATGCGACCACCTGTGAACTGAGTGAAGGAGACATTGGAGGGCTTACAGATGCGGCCGTCGACGTAGTTGACCCATCCTGACTCCTCCAGCTCCGTAGGCACCAGGTTCCAGTCGCCAATAGCGATCCAGTCCCCCGTGAGGCTCTTGATAACGGCCCCCAGGTTCTGTAACTTGATGAGGTTCTGGCCAGCCACCCCGATGGAGGTGGTGAGGTACACGATGAGCACCGTGAGCTGGCCATGATGCATCTGGATGGTGAGCGCCT